AAATCCTGACCAAAATCTGTTGGACATTTCTCTAAGTGTTAGATGAAAATGTCATGACTTCATGGGCTTATATCTTCAAATATAAGCATTTTTTGGACATAAAGCATCTAATACAAAGTTGTAGAATTCATCAAGATCTAAAACTTTCATGTTGAAAGTTTCCTTTGAATCATCATGCATCTTGGTGAAAAATTGGCTTGAAGTAGTGAAATTATCATGTACAAAACACTTGAAAAATTTCTAAGTCTTGAAAAGTTTGACATTTCCAATTGACTTTTGACTTTCTTGACTTTTTGATGATCAAACTTTATATTCTTGAATGTCTTGATGAATTTTGATCTTTGAAACTTAATGTTGACCAAAAAGTCAAAGTTTGACTTTTGGTGTATCAGTTGACTTTTCATCAGTTGACTGAATTTCAGCCATCAATCAATTGATCTTGAGAAATGAATTGATATATGAAATTAGGTCAAAATGATGCACTTGAATCCTTGAGACCATGTTTCAAACTAATAGATTGTGTATTAGGTCAAAAGTCAATGATCAGTCGTTCTCAGTCGAAACCCTAACTTGTGGTCTTAGTGTTTCAAAGGTGATTTTGTTTGATCAATTCATTGAGAATCCTTGAGCATTGGAGATCATTTGTGAAATGTATTGAGAAAAGAGAGGGAAAATTTTGGGGTACAACACATACATACAAAGGCCCTGGATTTAATTCTTCCATATTAACCTCATTCTTTTTGACATATTCATCCACCAAGTATAAAGGAAACTCTTATATATATCGACATATGCAATTTTCTATTTTTTACTGTACTTGGATGTTTTTGCCTTTTTAGCTTTCAAGCGTTCGACCTAGCAAACCCTGTCCGCCAGCTGTGCCATATCCCTAAGGTATTGAATGTCTAACTTCTTCCTAACGGAATTGTCTAGGCCTCGAGTGGCCATTTCGACCAATTCATGCTCAGGGACTTGAGTAAAGCATCTCGCTTTAAGAAGTCTAAACCTGTTGAGATAGTCATTAATCGACTCAGGCATTTTTCACCTAACAATAGCCAATTCCTTAAGACTTATTTTCGAATGGCCCATAAGAAACTTATCATGGAAAACTCTCTCCAATTGGATCCAAGTTTATATAGAATCGGGAGAGAGAGTCGTAAACCACGTAAAAGCATTATTTGTCAAAGAACTAGGGAAATACTTCATTTTTAAACATTTGTTGTTGGAAATGTCATCAACTTCAGTTTAGAACCTGACTATGTGTTCGACAGTTGACTCATTCGTGTCACCAGAAAACTTGGTAAATTTGGGGACTTTCCCTCACCTGGGTAATTTTGTTTGTCGAATGTACTAAAGTAAAAGGGAAATGTAATTAGGCATGTGAAGGCTAATGTTAAAACCACTATGGGCTAACATTTGTTCGACCACATTTTCAATATTGTTATGCCCCTAGATTATTTTGATGGAAATTTCTTAGGACATGCTCAACATCCGGATTCCTTTGTACTATCACTGGTCTAGGTTTATACTGACCTGTGTACTCTTTATCTTCCCTATTATGAGTGGGCTCTTGTGGTCGAAATCCCGCAAGCTGGCCCTGATTTACTACGGATGCCCCTATTATCTGGCATTTCGACTTGCCTCATGTTTTATACTTGAGGAGTTTGTCGAACTTTCACTGGAGGAGCGCCAAAGAAATCGGAAATTCGACTCATCTAGTTAGCCAACAACCCATAACTTTGGTTGGTGTTTGTAATCATAAGGTTAAATATGGTACCCCTTTGTTGGGTAAGATTATTTACCAACTCAAGATTACTTTCGTCCATCAGCTGCCTTAGAGCCATCACAAAAGTTATATTCAGTGAGGGTTTTGTTTGGGGGATGTAACTTATCCCTCCTGGTCGATTGATATTATTTATGGTTGTAACACAAGCTTATAATGGTTAAAAGATAAACCATTAGCCATCTCATTATCAACATATGTTGACATGTTCAACTGAAGGCCAACCATCATCAACTGTAGCGTGCCATATTGATAATACCCTAAAGGTGGCACCAAACCTAATTGAAAAAGTGCTCTATAAGGGTTAAAAGGAAAACCCCTTGCATTGGCTTCGACGAAACCGTTGTTGTCGAGCCAGTAGCGGCAAATGTTCTAACAGGGGATAAAACCATCGTGTTTTGAGTTGTTGTTCCCACTGGTACGCCATATATATTTTGAGTGTTGCTCTGTGTTAGGTTGGAAGTGTTAGTGTTTGTCCTAAAATGTGACATTTCGGGAAATTGTTTCTCACTTCTCAAGTTCATGCATAAACAAACATTGGTAGTATGTCATGTAAAACAAAACCACATATAGAGAAAACACAATGATTATAACAGTTTATTCAAAAAAATTAGCACAAGGTCCCACTGGGCATGCCAATTTGTTTATTATGAAATTTGATAAACATTGTTAGTCTCTTATTAAATGTTACTTGCAAGACCGGCTAGAGAGTCTCAGAAGAATGTGCGTGTAGTTTTCCAAATAACGTGTAGATAATAAGATTATGAATGATTTCGACAGTGGGCGAAATCATGTTGTATAAGTAAAAACATGTTAAAGTTACACTTGACTGAAAAAGTAAAGAGTTCGGCGATGAAAAGAAACGAACAAGAATGTAAGTTTAAAAGTAAAACTTTGCATAAATGTAAATTGTTATTGCACTCTTAAAACTTATTTCTCTCTTCGCTTGGTACTCTGAGTTTTGGTGAGTTTGATGGTAAATTTGACACCCCTAATTCTATCATTAGAACTACTATTTATACTGAAATCTAAATAACTTCTAAAGGAAGACTTTTCTTCAATGAATGCCACGCTCTCCATTGAATGTCTTTTGCTTCGAAAACCACTTCCACGCGTCCTTTTAATACGGACAGGGCCAAAAAATGGTTATTAAACCATGTTGTACATTTCAGCTACCTTAGTTGAAATGTCTACACTTGTTTCTTGTAAAAATTACTAATTCCATAACTCTTGCTCTAGGTTAGATTTCGACATCCTAGTCCGCCACCTTCATGTCGAAATGTTGTCATCTTGTATGTCGACCATACTCGTGTACATCATAAAACTCTTCACAAAAAATTTCCACACCTCCCCTTTTATTATGCTGGAGTTTGAGGCTTGTCAAAAATCCCAACTAACAAGACCCAAAAATATATCTCACAACATCTTATTCATCTCTTCTTTTACTCCAGTAAACATAATATGTATCATCTCTCAGCTTAAACAGATATTTTAGATAAGTTCTAGGACCATGGATCTCTATTTGTAATTTACTTTTATGTTTATATATTTGTATGATTCGAGTAACATTCTACAAAAATCGCTCTTGCAAAAACAACAATATATGTTTGAGTGGAACATGACGCTTTGTTAAATCAATAACATGTTGTCACTCATATGAACTTAGTTAATCAACAAATGCATGACCTTCAAATCCATCAAGTAAATCGTGATTGTGATGTCCATATTTCACATCAATCTTCTATCATGAATCATCTTTAGACAATGTTGATTTAATTTTGAATGGACAACCACATTTCATTAGTAGCACTTGGTGTTGCACTACCTGCTTCCTTATATTTTCACCTTTATCACAACCAAATATTACTCTCTCTCTCTCTCTCTCTCTCTCTCTCTCTCTCTCTCTCTCTCTCTCTCTCTCTCTCTCTCTCTCTCTCTCTCTCTCTCTCTCTCTCTCTCTCTCTCTCTCTCTCTCTCTCTCTCTCTCTCTCTCTCTCTCTCTCTCTCTCTCTTGTTTTGGTATCTAAATAAGCAATGATAACAATCACTCTGATTCCAACCTTCTTAATACACCTTATCATCTCTTATCGTGTATCAAATTTTTGGTAATGAATCTAGAGAATTCTTGTAGTGTTTAGAGTGTCTAGATATTTTTTATGATTGTAATATTTTCTAGAATACTTTTTAGATCTCTAGAGTTGAGAAATCTCTTGAACTAGTGTATCTAGAGTTCTCCTTATATTACTATAAATAGAGATATAATCCTACACTTTTATATCAAGCAAAAATATAAAGTTCTCTCATCCATAAAGAATTCTCCTACTTATCAAGTTTCTATTCAAGCTTTCAATATTTTCAGACACTTTTCCTAAATATAAAAGATCTTATTTCCAACACCAACGTGTAATGAATTTTCTTCAATATTTAAAATCAGTCTATCTCATAACTCGCCTGAATACAAAAAGCTTCATTTAGTTCTCGATGAATAAAATTAATTTAAAATAATTGAATATGTAAAAAGTTGAAAGTAAAATAATACATACTTAAATACATTTATGTAAAAGTTAATTGAAAAATGAAATTTAGTATAAAATTCACATTTAAACCTCAAAAATACAATATAGTTTTAGTAAGAAAACTATAAAAAGTAAAATTTTAATAATTAGAGTAGGAAAAAAAACAATATTATTAAATTTGTTTACTGAAACAAAAAATTAGAAGAACCACATGAGCACATAAAATTCAACCTGGAAGAACAACTTTAATTTTAGTAAGAAAAGTAGACTATTATTCTACTAGGCCCCAACTAAATGAAACAAACCTTTATCTCCAAATTTGAACACCAACCCAAATTCTTAACGTGCTGAATTCCAAGCAGCCCCTACCTGGCTCCCTCTCCCTGTTTTTACCTCAAAATCCAAATCTTCCCCAACTTGCCTAAAAAGCTTTATACAAAGAAGTTTCAAACCAAGTAACTCTCTTAATCCTTCCCAGTCACCATTGATTCCACAACCTTAAGGCAGCCATATACAATTGTCCCTTTTGAAACCATTATTCAATTATTCATAGAATAATACTTTTTTTCTCTCTGCTGTTAAAGTCATTTTGAATACAACTGGCTCGTGAGTCGTGACCACAACAACTTCATATATCTCTCTTCTATATATATACCCCTGACTTCATCTTACTTTTCAAGCAAACACCTCTTCTATCGAAAATGGGTCGGTTTAGTGTTATACTCGTGTTGTCATTTGCGTTAGCATTGTGTCTTGTTCCTTATACTAGTTTTGCTCAGCTTAGTCCGAACCATTACGCTAACATTTGTCCAAATGTTCAGTCCATTGTCAGATCAGCTGTTCAAAAGAAATTTCAACAGACTTTTGTAACCATTCCTGCTACTCTCCGTCTCTTCTTTCACGATTGTTTTGTTCAGGTAATTTATTACTCTGATCTTATTTATAAGAAAAAGTTTACTTTTTTTAGATACATTGAATAACTAATATATAAGTACGATTACTAAAAGTGTGCTAGAAATTGTGATTTTGTGATATGTTGATATTACGATTGCAGGGTTGTGATGGTTCGGTTTTGGTGGCGTCGAGTGGAGGTAACCAAGCGGAGAAGGATAACGCTGATAATTTGTCATTGGCTGGTGATGGATTTGATACAGTTATTAAAGCGAAAGCGGCATTAGATGCTGTTCCACAGTGTAGAAACAAAGTTTCTTGTGCTGATATTCTTGCTTTGGCTGCTAGAGATGTTGTTAATCTGGTTTGTGTTTTTTTAACAATTTTTTTGTAGTTTTATCTATATTTGAATTTGAGGTGGTGGTGAGATAATAACAATAAGGGAAATTTTGCAGGCTGGTGGACCGTCTTATACTGTTGAATTGGGAAGATTTGATGGGTTGGTTTCAAGATCTTCAGATGTAAATGGGAGATTGCCTCAGCCAGGGTTCAATTTGAACCAGCTGAATGCTCTGTTTGCTAGCAATGGACTCACTCAAACAGACATGATTGCCCTATCAGGTAAAAAAAAATTAAATGGGTCCTATTAACATATCATGTTTTTTTATTTATAGATATTTTCTAAAATGTTGTTTTGCTTCCCTTAAAATAAACATTGTTTTGGGTATATTTTTATAGTTTACATTTAGTCTAGTTCATGCTTTTTTTTGTGTTGGAGCCCAAATTCGAACCTATAATTTTGGTATCAGAGATATTCGTGCATAACTATCAATTGATCGGTTTCGCAGAACTAAATGATAATTTTTTTTAATGGTGTTCACGTAAATAGTTTGTTTAAGTTTCATCCTTTAGACATAAAGATACATGCCATGTCATGTCAACTTCAACAAATGATTTGTTAAATAAACTTAATTAAATGATGTTACAATCATGTTTGGTTTTCCATCTCATTCTACCCTCATTTTTTTGGGTGCACATCTCTTTCAACTCTATACACTCAAAAATCATACACTAAAATTATATTTTAATCATGGCCACGTAATCATTGAAAATAACATTTACACTATAATCACTTACAAATTATTTAAATTTTACTTTTTTAAAAATTCATTAAATATTATATACTAATATTAAATAGTATACTTGAAAATAAATTTTACTCCTATGTTTTTTTCAATGATTATACACATTAATATTAATACTATAAAATATACTAAAAATTCATCAAAAGTCCTATATTATAGGTTGTTGGGTTCTTAAAACAGAACATGTTGTATAATGTTTTCTAGTAGTGAATTATTCATAGACACTAGCTTGAATTGTTCAAAACATTATTGATAGCTAGACTCCATTTTTTTCAAATAAACGTCTGTTGAATTAAATTAAACATAAAATAAAAAAGGACAATCATTTGTCAATTTTAAATTAAAAAGTCTTATCAAATATCGTTATGTCTATTATTAGTTTGGTGTACAAGTACAACCTAAAATAAATTATATAAAAACCTCAAAATCTATATTATAGCAAGCAAGAGCATTCATTTCAAAACACTAAAATAACATTAAAAAAAAAAGTCTGATCTTGAAACCAATGCACAAAACAACATTAATCACGTGTATTCTGAACCAAACAGTTCTTACTTCTTACACATTTTGTTCCCTCATCAACGTGCTTATTTTGTGTCTCTTCATTTTCCAGGTGCACACACCCTTGGATTCTCTCACTGCGACAGATTCTCCAATAGGATCCAAAATCCAATCGACCCAACATTGAACAGACAATACGCAATCCAGTTACAACAACAGTGTCCTAGAAACGTTGATCCAAGAATAGCCATCAACATGGACCCAACAACTCCAAGAACATTCGACAATATTTATTACCAGAATCTTCAACAAGGAAAAGGTTTATTCACTTCAGACCAAATCCTCTTCACTGACACAAGATCTAGGGCAACGGTTAACTCTTTTGCTTCTAGTGGTAACGTTTTCAACTCCAATTTTATTAGTGCTATGACTAAGTTGGGTCGTGTTGGTGTTAAAACTGCGAGGAATGGCAAGATTCGTACTGATTGTTCTGTGCTTTGATTGAACAACAAGTGTGGGGGTGATTAGATTATTTGTTAATTGTTGTTGATAAATTTGCTTATGGTAAATTAAGAGTGGTTTGGAGATGTTTACAAAAAAGGCATTCATGGGGAGGGAATAAGTTGTGTTTTTTTTCATGTAATGTTTCTAATAATTCATGTACACAAGATACATGAACTTTGAGTTGATTATTAAAAATGAAAATAAGTGTGGCCAAAATGTAAATTAATTTATTTTAATTTTTGTATTGAATACTTTTTTACTACTTTATTGCATTAATTAAGGATGAAAATAGATAATTAGTTCTACATCATATTAATATTAACGGTGACATTACCAAAAACAAAATTAAAAAAAATATTACCATCAACTCACATTGAAACAATTAATTTTTATATTATTTTGAATTGACGATCGTCTATTCTTTATTATATTATTTTGTTGAAAGTAATTCATATTCATAAGTTGTTGTTAGAATCAGAAGTTTCTGATGTATTACTCAGAAGCAGTGTTGTTCAGAAGCAGTAGATCTTCTGAGGTTGTTAGTCAAAAGTTGTTATCAGTCAGAAGTAGAAGCTTCTAATGTTACGCCCAGGACTATGTTTAGCTTATGGGGTTCTAGTTCTTTCGTTAGCGTAGCTATTAAGTTTAGTTTGCTTAGTTATTAAGTTTACCTTTTGTTAGGGTCTACGTGGCAATTTACTTTGTGTATAAATAGACTAGTGGTAGCTGTCATAAAAATATTCATTCATTACTACTTATAACTTTATATCCGTCATTGCAGAGCTTTAATATTATTCTCTCATACATTTTCTTCATTTATTAACCTTATGCACTAACAAATTGGTATCAGGGTTCCGGTTCAGATTCACGGGAAACACGAGTGAAACGGTGAGGCGTTGTGTGATTGATTTTCGTTCTTGAATTCGTATTGAATCTTGAACAAGAATCACATTTTTTTCTGACTCTCTAGGATTAGGAAACACTGTTTGTGAGATCTGAGTGACTTGCACAAGATTGAAGATGACCATAAACGGTAGTCTAAGCACCAAGCTTCCAATATTTAATGGCAAAAACTGGAATCGTTGGATGATTTAGATGCGTGTGTTATTTGACGCTCAAGATGTTATTGATCTCGTCAACGATGGTTATGTTCCAATTGCAGCAGATGCGGTGGAGGAACATAGAAATACGCAGAGAAACAAAAGGAAGAAAGATTAGAAGGCGTTGTTCTTCATCCATCAGTGTGTGGATGAGAAAGTGTTTGAGAAAATTGTTGATTCGACGACGGTGAAGGTTGTGTGGGACACACTAGTAAGTGTTACGGTGATGACGCATCAGTGAAGAAGGTGAAGCTTCAGTTTCTCAGAAAGCAGTATGAGAATCTCAACATGAAGGACAACGAGAAGGTTTCTGAGTACATCTCCAGAGTGATTCTGATCACTAATGAGATGAAAGCTTGTGGAGAAACCCTTTCTAGACAAGTTACTATAGATCCTAACCCGGATATGGGGATACCTTTTAGGTAAGTAGCAATAGACTGTGAGGGAACCGTACGGCGTAGACCGATACGGTTGAAGCAGTAGCTACGTTGGTGTGGCACTTTAGTTTGTACCGATATCCCTTATGGCGGAACAAGGGGAATATGGGGCTGCTAAGGGGTCATTAAGCACCAACTGGCCTTAGAACCTATAATTAACCAACTTGGCCATAGAACAGTAGCAGTATGCTACACTCATTGAGACCAAACTCTCGCGATGATTCCGACCGCAAGAAAAGGTTGTTAAACTGGAATTATGACCGATCGAGGGTGGTCATTGATATTGAGAACCTCTAGAACCCGGTTACTATTATTAGGACAAGTTGAACCAACTGAACTTCAAGAGGGTAATACCTAGACCTCATGCAAGCCTAAACTTAAGGTTGTTTGTGTGACTTATGTGCCTTCAAACTTGAACTACTTGCACATTCTTGTTATCTGATAACATGAGTTCCTTGCAGGTTTTGTTTACAGTCCTTATCCAACAATTTGGATTTATTGCAGGGTTTACTTACATCACCTCACACTTTTGCTTAAACGCATAGCATACACATCATAACATCATTGCCTAAACATTTCCTTAACCATTTCAAGGATCTCAAGGGTTTGTGATGCAGTTTATGGTAAATCATACGTCTAGCACAAGGGGCAAAGGGGATTTATTTTTCTCTAGCTAATGTCGTCTAGAGATTAAAACATGATCACTTGAGTCGGTGGCTATGACCCACTCGATATGGTGAGCTTGACTGTTGAAGGAGGACTCTTGATGTCACGAAGTTTCTTCAATCAAAGCTGCAAAATTCAAATTCTAACAGTTTCTTGTTTACCCCGCGAGATCCTTGAAAACATTGCATGCATATCATACATATCATTGCATAACAGGTCTTCCAGTACAGGTCTCTCATGTTCTCGCTGTTTATTTCAGCAATGGCTCTCAAACAAGACAATAGAGATCTTCAAACCCAAGAAGCTCAGTTCAGGGAGATATTCCTAAACCTATCCAAGGGGCAGGAAGAGTTGAAAACACTCCTCGTTGGGAACTTGGTCAAGAAAAGTCCTGAAGACAATAAGGACGAACGGCTGAAACATCTGCAAGTTGTGGTAGATGCAATAAGAACCCAGATGCTGGAGAAGATGGCTCTTATCCAAGGTTTAGCCCGAGAACAAGAATAGCTGGGAAGCATTATCAACCAGCTTCGTCGAGACAAATACAACAGTACGAAGCAAACAGTCGAGGCCGAGGACCAAGTCATTGATCAGCCTCCAAGAAGACAAAGATTTGGTTTGGAAAAGAATGGACCTCTCCTAGTTGCTAGTACCTCACGGGTTCAACAACAACTTCGCCAAAAGCAACGGGTTAATCAGAGTAAGCCAGATACGCCCAAAAGGCAGTTCACCGAGCTCAACATGCTGCTGTCGCAAGCTTTACAACACCTGTTGAGATTGAATCTGGTGACATTAAGGGACCCTCCTCAAAATCCCCACATAGCCTCCCCAAGGTACAATCCTGATGCAAGGTACGCATACCATTCCAACAGCCCGTGGCATGATACTGATGGCTGTTGGGCATTGAAAAACAAAATTCAAGACCTGATTGATGAAGGAGCTTTGGAATTCACACAAGATGGTCAACTGGAATGTTTCTGCCAATCCTCCAAGGCTCACCATTTGAAGTGACAAGTTATGACAAGAGAGGCTTTTGTTCATTAGAATTTTCAAGTTGTAATTTTCTTTTGATTGTTCAAATCTTTATTCATGTCAAACTTTGTTACTTTATCAATGCATTGCATATGTCTGTTCTGAATCAATCCATTCGTATTCACTATATTTAAATTGCTTTCATTTTTGTGATGTTCAACTCTCGATTAAAAAACTCTAAGCCTTTAGTGGGAGGATAACGAAAATGATATCAAAATCTCTACAGTATGCTTTTGAACAGACCTTGCTGACGAGGTACATGCGTTGTTTCAAATCCTAAACAGTGGAGTTATAAGGAAGATAATCCCTAGTCAACCCTTTTGAGCCAAATAAGTTGGAGTTTTTCTTTTCAAAAATTAAAACCCTTAATTATAACCTGGGTCAGGGTAGTTTTCTCAGTTAATCTAGGTGCACAATGAATGACATTAAAGAAGTCCTTTTGAAACAAAAGACGGTGATGGTTCCGTATAATCGTAAGGACAGGCAGTCATTATCTCTCAAAATAAAAGCCCAATAAGTCAAAACCTGTGAAGGAGACTTAAGAAAAACGGGGGCATCCCGCTGACTGTAATCACAAAAAGAAACAGTTCAGACAAAAGACAGGGATAATAAAATCAAAAAGGGTCCTACAAACCCTTAACAAAAAAGAAATGACTGACTGTTCAAAATAAATTGTCAGTATCCGAACCATCACTGGAATATCAGAGCAAAGACTCATACAAGATCTAAATGCACGATTAGATGAGTTTAGGATTGAAGAACATCACGAAGAATGGGCGGGTACAAATAAATTTTGAGTCTTTATCCTTTGTTTCTTAAACCGTGAACCAGGCTACATTATAATCCTTAAAAGTCCTAGCTGAAGCATGGGTTGGTTTGAAAGCATATTGTTACAAAGGTATCCTGACTTCTGCAGGACTTGTTGTAAATCCTGAGTTGACATCACATTTTACAAAAAAAAACTTGTTTTATTAAAAAATTCATTTTCAAAATTTCAAGACAGACATAAGCTTTGCATTCTTAAAATAACATTGTTTGCATATGACTATTTGTTCAACAGTAGAGAAATTCATACGATGAATATCTAGTGAACAAAAACCGTCTCAAAAAGGATCACCTCAAGTGGAAAAATACTTCCAATCAAGGGGCACGGCATGATCATTGTCCATCATCTGGGGCAGTCAAATCAAGATTCAAGGAATCTCTCAAAGATGCCAAATAGCCAGGGGCAAATCTCCATCTGAATCACTTGGGGCATTGGACATGAATTCCAGCAACGAATATTGCATGATCAAACGAACATCTTCTGGTAGTATGGCAACACAACACTGCCGACAGTGACCATTCCCTACACTCTGAGAGCGTGGACATAGTCAGAAAATACTGCACATGAACAAAGACCCGCTAGGTTGACTGGCCTAGGCAAAAATAAGGGCATCCCGACGAACCAAAAGGGTTCGGGCAAAAATTAGGGATAAAAACAAAAAACATTTGTACACCCGGCAAGTCGAAAACCTGAAAAGGCGGATTGGGAAAAAAAGGGTATCCCGGTGGACTGAAAATCTGAAAAGACAGTCCAAGCAAAAGTTAGGGATCAAAGCGTACCGCTATGTCCCATCAACTTGTCATTTATCTACCAGAAGAAGACTTATCATTACGATCGACAATTACCAAGAACCTCATAGGTTGGGATAACACTCGATCCACAAGGCCTCCGCAGGCACCTTCTCCCGCAGATACAGGGGCAGAAAAGTCTCGATGC